GCGCTCGTCGGGACCTGGAAAATGGTTCTATCATACCCGGGTCGCAAGCAAGTTCCCAAACCCAACTTACAAATGGGCCGACCCAACCCTGTCAGCCAGAACCCGGGTCTTGTGGAGGATCCGAATTTTCTGTCGGAAGAGGTATGATAGCGATCCGCGCATCCACTAAAGGTATCCCCTACGGTGCCCACGTCTTTATTGACAAGATGGTTGACTTCCCCGGCCTTCCCTATCAGCTCTTTGGTCTGTTCTCGTTCCTCCCGGGAAACCTCGATCGGAACACGATTTCATTTTGTCATGATTTGTCACGATGGATGCAGCGGTAAAGGTAATTGTCAGATGGCACGTTATTTCCTGGCGCTCTGGGTGGATCGAGCTTCTTGGTGAGTGGTGGCTGTGGGAAGGCCTGGGGTGAATTTTTTTTCTTCTTTCCACTTTTCTTTAGCTATTTTTATAATGCCTCCCCCCCTAGAGCATCTCGTATCATCTTTCCCCAACTGCTAGTGAAGACTAGCATTCAGGTTCCCCGGTATTACGTTACAAGGTTCTCTATCCGAGGGTTCATTCCCGGTCAGAACTTGTGCCCCCCCCCGGGACTCTGCGTTTTGAGGCTCTACCCAGATCAGCCCTACCGGAACCTACCCTGTCCCAGCCCAAGATAAGGCCCCATTGGTGAGTTGGCGAGCAGCGCTGAGCTCGGGCGAGAATGGTACGCGAAAATGATAGCACAGTTTAGGCCCCTGCGGTGAGTAAGCTCCTGCACTGGAGATCTTGAGGGTAATATATTGCTGACAGTAACGGACCCCGACCTAACTATGTAGCTCCCTATCTAGTAGAATATGTTAGCTTCTCTTGTGAGCTTACGCAGGAGTTCTCACGTGCGCGTTCACGGATTGTCACTCGGAAGGAATCCTGCAGATGCAGTAGTTAGGGGCAAGGCTGATAATTCAACATCCGACCCGTATTTACTTTCAGACGGCCCGCACTGCGATCGGCGGGAAATCTGAACTCCGTTAGACTATGGCGCTAGGCAGGGTGTGCCAGAAAGGCGCAACCCCCTCATACAGCCTGGCTCGCTGTCAGATTCCGGGTCCAGCATCCGGCTGTCGCAGTCCCAGGTATTGGGGTGGCCCAAGTAGCTGACCCCCTCTGCAAATTAAAAGGATGGGCGTGGGAGGAAAAGCAGGTGGTTACACCACACCCCTATGTTTACCTGCACGGTACGAGGTTCTTCCCGGTACCGATATGGAGTTCCCGGGTGTCTTTCGGTTCCAGGAACTAAGCTTTCCGATCTATCATGTTTGGCGTCTCAAGAGGTACCGGTAGTAGCGCCACCGGTACTGTGCCAGAAGGTTGACCCGAACAAAGTAATGTCTCGCTGCTAACCTGCACGTTGGTGGCACAGGATGATGTTGGGTTCCTTATGAGCACATGATAGTAGACACACGACATTATCGTGGACACATCATTGGTGACCGCCACTAGCGTATAATTGGCGTGTTATATCGAGAATGATATAAAGACCTCCCCCTTTTCCCCCAAGACTTTCTTTTCTTTCTTTTCTTTCTTTTCGGATTGACTAGGGGAGTTCTCTGAAACCTCTCCGATATGGACTAGTTCTAGCATCGTGAGCTGCAGTCGGGGCCCCATATATGCACCAGTACGTCGACCCATCCCCCCGTAATCGGTGGCCTGTAGTCTATTGGTTGTTGGAACCGAAGCTTCTGAGGTTGTTGGTCCAGTTGTCTCAAGGCTTTCTTGTAGAAGACATTCTGAGGGCCTACCTGGATCTAACAGCGGAGTACCGGACCAATGTATCCAACCACCTCATCGGGTTAACCTTTTAATATGTTAGTTGCTTCCTTTCTCCCAGCAATCACAGCATTGAGGGGGATGCCGAGTGCTGTCATGTACCCTCACTCGAATACCGTACGGGAGGGGGGGGCCTCTCATAACGGCCAGATCCCGGTTTTGTTGACTTTAAGCAGGACGCGGCCAGCCTGTCGGGGCATGGGCCCGGCCTTCTGGTATTTCCAGGAAATCCTTCGCCCCCCGAAGAGTTGTACGGACATCTGACCGGGCGCGGGGATCGGACCCAGACTCAGGAAATGCACCCCGAAACTCGGCAACTCCCCCAAATCATTCAGTGCTGTTCAACAAGTGTGCCGACAGGTGGTCGGCCTTACCTTCTATTGTAGCTATCTGGGTTGCATGCAGCCTCCGGTAGGAAAATGTGGAAATGAATTCAGGGGGATTCCGGGTTTCTGATTGGAGCGTTTCGTGGCTCGGGCCGATTGAGCAACCGCTTTTCTGATCGCCGTTTTCCCATTTTTTCTCTACCGAGGGCCGTGTTTATTTTTATTTTGCTTATTCTTGTTACGATATATGATACCATCATGTTGTAATGAGCCCTATTGAGCAACGTTTGTAGGTCTTTCCTATGCTCAGGACTGAGGCCCCATGTATATAGGAAACGACTTATGGCGATCACCCCAATACAATACGCCCTGTTTGGCTCGCCATCGAATGAGTCGTTTGTCGACTCGAACGGCGTTTCGGGTCGATATGAACAGTTATGTCATCAAGTTAATAGGTGTTAACGCATGCCGCAGGGTATGCTAAGTAAATTTCTTAGCAAGGTAACCGCTCTAAAATGCCCTTCGAATCGACGAACGACTCAATTGATGGGGAGAGAAACTGGGCCTACATTTCATTATTGAAGCCTCAAATTACGTTTAATATTTAAAGACCCAGCTGCTGCTATCTGAGGCGTGGTGTCGTTCGCAAGCAGAAGAGCCCTAGGTGGCAACTAGGATAAATTAACGAATCCCAAATCATTCCTCGGTTTAAGCCGCTTCAAAGATCACATGCGCCTTGCATTCTGTTAGCAAGCACTTCACAGTGTTCCAGAAGTATGACGCGTGCCTTTGTCCATTCACAAAGTATGCTTACGTGAGAGTTGATTGATTGGGAGGGGAATCACATGTCAGGAGTGGAGCTAATGGGGCGTCAACGTACTTTTCTACGGATCGTGCCTTGTGAGGTTTCCGTTCCAAGTAGCGTCGTTAGACATGAGATGCTCACAATTGCTCTGGATATGGGTGAAGGATATGTATTCTCCCAAGTCTTTGCCCAGATTAATTTTTTTAAGCTCATACGAGGGACTCAGCAAAATGAGCAGACGAGTGACCATACATGATCACGCTATTGAAGCACCAGAGTGGCAGGGATATCTGCCTACCCGTGGATGACGGGATGTTGGCTGTGATTTCACCCTTCCGCCTTAGTTAGTTTGCTTGTGAAAAGCTTAAGTGTGGAGAAAGCCTTGCTGATAGCAATGTCAGGGTCATTCCATGGTTGTGGACAACTTGTTCGATCAGGCCGGAGGACTGACTTCAGTTGTTCAGAGGGTTTTCCCTGAATTCACCGCCCTGAAGGAGCGGCCTTGACTGAGCTTGCTGGGGTCCCTACTCAATTGAGTTGTGAGCTGACTGGAAGGGATTCAAGGTAAGACGCGCAGGGTGTCAGGGGACTAGAGAAAGGCCATTGGTGGACCGAAATAATGACTCTTCATTGTTGTGAAAATGCTGCAGCCCACCACACCCTCGATAGCTCAACAATCCCAGTAGGAAAGAAGCAGGCCCATGGTTGGGAGACATCGCGGACCAATCTGTTCAGGCTATCATATTATATGATATACCATTCTTCATCAACCCTCACAGCATATATTATACGCGCTGAGGTTCCGGACGGGCCGTGGCCGTGCTATAGGGATTGAACGGCCTACAACGTAGTACCCTTTAGAGAGTGAAAGGAAAGCTGAAGGACTCTTCGGAGGAGGTGGCTTTGCATAATTGTCTGTAATGATTTCAGAATTGCTGGTCTGAAAAAACATTTAGCAAGGAGCAGTTATTTTGAAGGAGTGACTGGCATGTCACTCAATTGTGTTACTTCTATTCTCTGTGCCATTAATGATAAGATCAGATCAAATAAAAAGAGAATTAAACTTGAGAACGAGCGGCGTACTACATTGATATCACACCCATTTGCACCCCTGGTGTTTCTGCGCAATAACCCTGAATCCTGGACATCATATCACTATCAAAAAATAATCTTTTCAACTCCTCACACCAGGTTAAGTAGCTCAGAAGGTGCTCGAGCCTGGTTTGCATCCTACAAGTCTCAGGAGATGCACCGCACAAGAATTTGAACTGAGTAAACCTGGGGGAATGGGCGTTGAGACGGGAACCTGTGGGGGTTTGGAAACTACCCTGACATGATAAGTCAACAGCAGTATGATACATCACACTCGCCCTGGGAAAGAAGTGACCGAAAACAGGGATTCTCAAAATATCTGGCAAAAAAATCCGTGCGCATCTCAGTGCCCATACCAACTCACAACTGGTTTTTTGGAATACTTCTTGCCCGGCATAAGTGCCCTAGGAACATGGGAGGGTTGCGTGTGCTGGAGTTTGCCCGTAATTATTCTAATTATTCGGTGATAATCGACGGGAAAATACATGAGGTGAGTTGGGTAGAGCGTGGTGCTGGGAGTAAAAAGGGGGTGTTGACCGGAGACCTGCTGGCGGAACTGGTGAGAATTCAAACTCTATATTTTAATTGAGCAGATAAAAAAAAACCCCCCAGCACCAAATAGGGGGAATCATGGGAGATATGGCGCCCTAGAATCTTGAGTCGGATCGACACAGCAGATGGGCTCCATATTGAAATGTTAATAGAAAGTAGATTGCGAGGACGATGAAATTTTGGGGGTACCCAGTATCATAGGTGGATAGGTTGTCCGGAGCTCTACCATAGTAGTCATCTATGCCGCACGAAATACGGCTTCGAGGCACGGTATAGACAAACCTTCTATTTTGTTGTCTTTGTATCATACTACCACTATATAAATTTATGTATCAAAAGTATGATAATATGGTATATCAACTAGCTACGGTGCCCTACAAAGTCACGCCGAAGGGCCAGTCTGCTGGTCTCCCATTTCTTAGTTATCGTATCCTGTCTTCCACCCTCTGACCTACCAATATCCATCATAACTGTTCCTCAACGGCATATCAGACAAATCACAATCCAGAGCTCGCCACAAACATCAAGGCAAGAACAAACAACGAAACCGCAAGGACACGCCTACAATGACCGCTGATAATAAACAAACACCTTCTCTTGCTCCCCCGGCCCTAGAGACGGTTGAGCGTAGCCTGACAACTCCTCCTTCAGTTTTGACCGATGGGACGACTTATGATCCAAACGATCCCCTTATGGTATGACGAACCACTCCATTAAGAAACAGAAACAATTTCAATGCTAAGTATTTGCTACATAGTGGTCATGGAAAAAAAAACACCTAGTCCTCGCTTCAGTCTGTTATATGACCTTTATGACAGATTTTTTGGCTGGATATGGAGTTCCAATGATCATACCGCAGGCGAAAGAATGGAAACTTACACCGGCCGATTCTACCCGTTCCTTGTCAGGCAATACCTTTGTAAGTTTCAGTGCCCGGGGAAGCAGCACCCTCGAGTCCATTCAGTATTATAGTATTAACGGTTTTTTCCTTCAATCATAGACTCAAGGCTTTGGAAGTTTGATGGCTGTACCTTTTGCTGGGCGTTTTGGAACGTAAGTTTTAGTGTCGATGTACTAGTATTTCGGCTTCAGCCTCCCTCTTCTCTTGGTCATGTTAGCAGCTAATACCCGAACGGCAGTCTACCCGTGATGTTCTGGAGCACTTTTATGACGTTCTTCATGACCATTGCCTGTGCTCTGTGTCCGGATGACTGGATTGGATTTATAGCGATTAGGGTTGTACAGGGGTTTTTCTCAACGGCTGCACAGGTGCTCGGAATGACCGTTATTCAGGACATGTGAGTTTCGTCCCGTCATACCTCTACATCTGCCATTTCTTTGCGAGAAATGAGATTGACCAATCGCACCAAACCGACCAGATTCTTTTTCGAAGAACATGTGAGGAAGCTGGGTATTTGGGGGTGGTCAATTTTAATTGGTAAGAAAGATTTGCTCCCTGTTCCAACACAATTTTTATTAGTGCAACCGCCTCTGTCCCGTGATTCCCGTGATGGCGCTAATGTAACCATCTTCAGGCCCGTACTTCGGCCCGTTCCTAGCTTCATTCATCATATCCACACAAAGGTGGCGTACAGCCTTCTGGATTGTCTCTGCCTTCGTTGGGCTCGGCCTGATCCTCATCATATTTTTGATGGATGAGACTTCCTTCGACCGTACCGATCATAGGAACAATCCACCAAGGCCTGAAACATACTGGAAGCACAAGGTACAAACATTGTCTGGCGTGTACGGGTATCGCGCTCAGGGAAAGCCTACCCTTTTGCAGGGATGCCTTGAAATTTGGAAAGTTTTTAGTAAACCCCAATTCTACACTCTTTGTTAGTTCCTCAAGATTCCGTCTTTATTTTACTATACCATACTAACTCAATAGTCTTTTATCATGGTGTGACATACATGTGGTCTGTTGGGATCAACGGAAGTCTGGTCCTGTTCCTTGTGCCCCCTCCACCTAAAGGTTACGGGTTCAACAGTGTTGGCATTGGGCTTATATATTTTGCCCCAATGATTGGCGTAGTCCTCGGAGAGCTCTGGGGGCATTTCTTCAATGATTTTATCCAATCTCGCTCTATCCGCAAAAACAAAGGCTTGTTCGAGCCTGAATCACGTCTCTGGGCAATATATTTCTCCACAGCTTTCAATGCAGTTGGTCTTGGGCTTCTGGGAATAGGGTTGAAAAACTTGTGGACTTGGGGCATTATTGCGCTGTTGTGGGGAGCATATATATGGTCTTTGATGATCAGCACAGTAGCAACATCCGGTAAGTGGTTTCTGAAGGTTGCGACACGATTAAGTTCTGATAGCATATAATTCCAGCATACGCACTTGATTGCTTCCCTGGAAATTCCGCTGCAGCATCAGCCCTCCTCAACTTTACCCGTGTTCTTCATGGGTTCCTTGTGCCGTTTTTCCAGAACAAATGGGCAAACGCCGTGGGTGCGAACTGGTCCTTTGGCACTCAGGCAATTGTCTGTGTTCTTGCGTTTGGGATTATTCCTGTAGTGCAAAGGTATGGCAAACGGTGGAGGGAAAAGAGCTCTCTAAGTCCAGATTTTATCATAGTTACCAAGGCCGAACAGCAGACATGAGGGGTACGCAACTAGGAGCCATTTTTCAGAAGCAAGTTCAATAATGCTATGATTTCTCTCTCTCCTCTCGTGTCGTTCCGGACCACCAACGCTCGACCTCTACTTATTTCGCACCGATACACAAATGCTCTATGACCCAGCCAGGCCCTCTACTCTCTTCGCTGAAGATAGCGCCAAATTTCCCTACACTTGGTAAATACCAGCCAGCGATATTTGAATATTAAACCGACACACCAAGAGTCCATTATATCCACCTTTCCACAGAAAAAATGTCAGCCATGTCAAGTCTTTAAAAATACCAAGTAGGAACTCACCAGTTTCCCCTGATCCACTGAATCCTCTATAGCTAGTAAGCCCGCTTTGATAGCCTAGATATTTTTGATTTCTTAGTGTGTCTAATCACAGTCTGCCCTCCCGCACAGTAATTCCGATATAGCCTAACCTAATCCAAGTCAGTCCAAGTAAGTAGCATCATAAAAAAGCAAATATGCCAAGTATTCTGTTCCAGTGACCGACGAGGACCCCCATGCAAAAGATGCTTTTTCCCGGGCCCGCCGGTCCTTCTCTAAAAGGGACACGTAGTTAGTATATACTCGTAATTGAGCGACGTTTGCGAACATGACTACTATTACATACCGCCGGAACTCACCTCCTCTGCTTAGATCTTAGTGTTGCCCAATAATTGCCATGCTCGTGGACGGCGTTCAATTTCGGGCAGTACTTCAAACGGGACTGGATGGTTTAATAGATGCTGCAAGACTGTATATTAGTGATTGAATGAGCCCAGGGCGTGCCCGAGTGTACGGTGTGTAGAAATAGCACTGCACACCACTACACTGCAAACACGGGCGATCGAACTCCGGGATGGCCCTAGACGGCAGAGAGGGTGCAGGATGGCGCAGGAGAGTCGTGAAGTAGCCTGGCCTCTATAGTGATTTCTCGTGAGCCAGAACCGCATGTGTAGCATTTGTGAAACTTGGGCCGCATCAGACAATAGTCATTCTCTCACCGATCCTGAGCGTTATCAGCGGCAGGCATGTATGAGGCGGCATTGGGCGTCCTGCAGCCCGGGGGTCGAGGTTGGCTGTATTAGTAAGGTCCGCGGGGTGAAGTAAGGTAAGGGGATGGAGCAAGAGATAAAAGGGAGACGGAGCTAGAACAGAGCCACAGAGGAGAGGCAGTCGCAAGATTTGGTCGAGAGGCCAACAGACCACGGTAGATTTACTCGTGGCCCATAGGGAGCTAATTATGACCGAGGATGCTAACTCCTCAATGGTTGTGGACAAGACTGAATGCCGGTAGGTATCGCCATCCAAGTGCCCGGTACCCGTATAGGCGAACTATGGGCCAACTCTCGGGGGGGGATAAGGCACAAGCGATGTCGTAATCTAATCTGCAAACACTTCTCCAATTCCATGGCAATGCTGCAGCTCTAGAGTTGGTGTCAAACTATCGGTGGTCAACCCAATTTAAAGACACTGCCTTGGCACCAAGGCTCCACCATAAGCAACAGCTTGGCAGGCATTCTCCCTGCTCTCGCAGGTTGGATATTTAACCTGGCATTGGTATGGCGGAGCTCTTGACGGGAGATTCTTGTGGAGGCCATGGCACCAGCAAGCACTCCCGACTTCTGGTGCATTCCGATTCTCGGCTTGGAACACCTTTCCCCTTGGTCCTCTCAGTAAGGGCGCCGAAGGAAAGTGCGAAATAGGGTGGCAATGGACAGGCACACCCAGATCGAACGAGTGACACACCATGCTCAGAGCTCGGGGGTGGGGGGGGGTGAGGTTCGATGGGCCAGCGGAGGGTCCGCGGTCGAGAGATAGAAGTCGATTACTGGACTCGATTTCTCGATCACCAGTCGGAACATGTATTGTGTGAGATAGGTATCAAAGTCCAAGCCAAAAAATGCTTAGCCCTGGGGAAGATCATAAAATTTAGTGACGGCCCAACTCAAGGATTCACCGTATAGCTGAATAACCCGTATTGATCTGCGCCGCGAGGTGTTGTGAGGGGTTTTTCCTGACAGAGCACCATTTTGGTGCGGGAGATCTTACAGGCCAAATGGAATTTAGGCTCTCCGGAGCCAGGCGAGTGGTGGGAAAGCTTAATTGTGCAAAATCCCAATGGCCCCCGGGCCGTACTCTGCATAATGCAGATTGCTTGCGAAGCGCATAATGGTATGATATATACTGTACCAGTACACCTTGCTCCATGCACACAGTAAAATACCCTCTGGCCTGATTCGGGGGCCTAAGAGCAGGACCGTACGCTACACTCCGGAGACATAGCCTCTCCTGGTGGTCCTATGGAGTATCATAACGAGGGGTGGGGAGAGCACCACTCCCGAACCTATCATGCAAAAAAGGGCTGCAGAGCATGGCACGAGCGCAGGATGTAAGTAAAATAATACAAGCACTTGCTGCGTCAACAATTCTCAGGAATTAATCGGCCCCAGAGCGAATGTAACCCACGGTGCTTTTTTTTTTTTCTTTTCATTTTTCTATCCCCACCCCCCACCCAGACCCACCCTATTCGCTGCCAACAAAGCGATGTGCCAGTTGTCAATAGCTCATAAAGGCCTGGACTTTGATATTGCTATGGCACAGGTGATTCAGTAGGGTTCTAGGTATTTAGTCCGGGTACTCTCACACTCTCTCTACAAGGCGCTATTCCGCCAAACCAGCCCTCACCTACCCTCCTAAGCTACTATAGCAACATCTCTCCCTGAAGCTACCAGTACGCTACCAAACCCCCTTCTGCCCTCCCTGCTGCACCGTTAGGACAAGTACCCCCTCTATACCGCACTGCAAGCACTACCCTTCCAAAAACCCCCGAAGGAGCTCCAAAAAGAAACCAACATTCCTTCTTCCCGGGGTGTCCCCCCCCTATAAACGAAAAAATGCCATTATCGTTGTTGGATCTCCCAAATGAAATGGCACTAGGAATCGCTGACGAACTTCCACCCGGAGACATCAATTCCTTGATGCAGACTCACCCCCAATTCGCCTACTTTCTAGCTCCGGCACTCATGAAGTCAGCGTGTAGTGCGGGATATTGCAACTACGGAAAAAAGGCACTATTCAGAGCAGCAAACCGAGCAGACCACTCGACAGTCAAGCGGTTGATATCCTACGGCCTCCTCGATCACGTTGGCAGGGGAGTCCTCGTGGACGCCCTGCTTTATGTGGATGAGACAGGCATATGCACGCTCCTAGAATGCGGTGTTGAAGCAAACGTGCTCAACGAGGACAACATGACGCCACTGTGCGCGGCCGCGATAACCGGGAACACCCCAGCTGTACGATTGCTCGCCGCCAGGGACGACATCAATATCAACGCCAAATCACAGCACCTCATCAAGGATACGGTATTGCACCTGGCTGCAGTAGGTGGGCACTTGGACATCGTACAGTTTCTCTTGAGCCGTCCTGAGCTCATCCGGGACGTCAGGGACTTGTTAGGTTGGTCACCACTGCATAGGGCATGTCGCAATGGCAGGCCTGAGGTTGTCCAGTGTTTGCTTGAGGATGGGGGCTTCACAGTTACAACTCCAGATCGACGTGGAGACAGTCCGTTACACCTTGCTGCTGAGAATGGCAATGAAGAGGTGGTCATCCGTCTACTACAGGATCCTAGAACCGTTGTCAACCAGCGCGGGAATTGGGGTCGGACACCACTTCTCACTGCTGTCATTTCCCAAAACCTTGAAATTATACGGGTTCTGCTAGAAGACCCCCGGACAGACGTCAATATTCAGTCCGACACTGGCTGGACTCCGCTCATTTCCGCAATCAAAACCAAGGATTTCAAACTGGTCCGCATGTTGGTTACTCAAGGAAGAGATATCGACCTTGACGTGAAGGGAATCGGCACGGCTTCACCACTGCATATCGCGACAATGTATGGACAGTATGACACGGTGGAACTACTCCTAAACCATGGTGCGAATCCCAACGTTGAGGACCATCGTGGAGATTCACCCTTCGTGCTTGCGGTTAATGGGGGGCATGAGAAAATCGTCAGGCTCTTTCTTTCGAGAGGATGTGTTGACCTTGAAAAGTTGGATAACTCTAAGATGTCGGTCAGACTCTTCAAGGAGAGATACATTTACGGGATCGTTAGGACGTTGGACCAAATTCTTGGTATGGCTTAACAGGGTCTACAAACAACCCAGGAATTTATCCTACTATAGGCAGAAAGGTGAGTTTCCTTTATGGGTTCAATACACACGGGGTCCATGGCATTGTTATCATTGTTACTTTTTAATTCCTCCTTTTCTTCCCCCAAACAAAAAAAAGAAAAATTCCATTGTTACTATACCCGATCTATATACAAGTACAGCCGAGGAGAGGATTATGGCAATTACTGTGAAGACGGGGGGAGGAGAATACCTGGGGTGAATTATTTTTAGCTGGACAGACCGGAACACCTTGACGGTTATTTTTTCATGGGTCTCTTCCAAGGGCGGGTACAAGCGGGAGCAACCGGCGAACGCATCAGTCAGTCAATTGTGGGGAACAGTTATAATCACAGGGGAAAGATAGTCGTTTTTGAGTTTTCATTTTCACTCTTTTTTACCACCTTTTGCTTCCACCTTTTTTCCTTCTTTTTTCCTTTGCAAAAAATAAAAAAAACCCCCTTTGGCCATGATATCATAGGAATTTTTTTCTTTCCGAAAGAGAGAAAAAAAGAAGAAGAAAAGGAAATGAGGGGAAAACAGAAGGACCCCAGTATACATACTGCGGTGCCGTTAGTTCACCCACCCTATAGCCCTCCCACTATGATAATACCAAAGATTACATATATCAAGTTAACGTACCTCAACACACCAGTGCACATAATATGCCAACACAACTCGTAGGTGGGGGGGAGGGGAGGAAGGGGAATCGAACGGGTGGATTCAAGCGGTACAACAGACTCCCCCACCATAACACCCATTCACTACTCGTACGATAAGTTAGGTACGATACCTGTACCGTAGCTGAAGTGAATTCCAGAGCGGGGACGTACGCACCGTACCATACATACATATCATAGTAAATTACTTGTACATACCGGTATGATACTGCACACTATCATACTCGTAAATATGTCGAGCGATAATTAAATGCAAAGTTAAGGGTAAGGGTTTTTTGTGTCTGTGTCTGTGAATTTTTTTTTCTTTTTTTCCTTTTTTTTTCCTTTCCCTGCATGAAAGTATAATATAGTGTTAATTCATAATTTACAAGTATCATACTCGTACATTTAAGCATCACATCCGAACACTAAGTTACCCTATAATATAATATAAGTAACACCTAAAGCGCAACAACCCCTGACGCCAAGTCCTCCGTACAAGTACTCGTACACCCTTAGAATTAGCGAGTACTGTACTGTACTGTTACGAGTGCGTTGACATGCCGGTTGCTCGGAAGTTACAATGATACCGGCGGCCGGTCACCTTGGCCACCAAGAGGTTGGGCTACGGTACTTAATGGGTGGGTGGGTGGGAGGGTTGGGATTGAAGGCGGTTTGTTTGGATCGTATCTAGCTGTCGGTACTTTTTTTTTTCGAAAAAACAAAAAACATGTGCAGCTCTTATAATATCAGGCGGGATGATGGTGCGGTACTGTGCGGTGCAGGTTTAGGATTGTACTTGTAGTTCGAGTGCTGTGCAGCGAGGGCACGGGTGGGGAAGTGGACCGTTTGGGAATGTTTACGCATGATTGGTACAGTATTTTTGAGGTAGCTATCCGCCCCGCCTATCGCCTTGTGTTGGATGGATCGACTTGGCTGCAAGACGGTACCGTATTGGAACGGAACAGCATTTTCGATGGCTCTTCTTTTTTACAAGCACCTGTGCCTATGATAAATAAACAAATAAGTAAATAATAAGCCGATTGCCCTAACCTCCCACACAACAATACAACCATAACTAGACTGCGTCTATCCCGCCCCCCTCCCCTGCCAACACCTCCCTCTCTAACAAGACCTCACCGACCTCCCTCAGCAAACCGCGAAGCCGGCTCTCCAGCTCCTCCCTCCGACGAACATTCTCCTGCAAGTGCTCAATCTCCGCCTTGTACTTCTCCATGGCGTGCAGTTCCGCCCACTTCTCTCTCCGCTCTTCGACGGCATGTTGTCGCTCCGTGGGATTGGCCGTGCTGGATGGCTTAGTTAGTGGTAGGAGGGCGGTTAGGCGCGCAGCTGTGGCAGCGAAATAATTATTAAGCAGGTGCAGCTCTGACTGCACGTATGCGCGCAGGGAGCTCAGCGAAGCTTCGTTGTGGGAAACTGTGCCCAGGAGGGAGACGAAGTGGTGTAGTGCTGGGGAGTTTGGAGGGTGTAGAACGAGTTTTTGCTGACCGGGCTGGAAAACGCTGTTAGCGCAGCGAGGGAAAATGAGAAGGAGGTGAATTACCATTTCTTTGATGCTGAGGGGGAGGTCTGGTTTGAATACAAAGGTACCGGCCTTTCTAGAGAAGTGAATACGCAAGGGAAGATTGGAATTAAACTTTAGCGGTGGAAAGGGTGAATTGGGGACGAGGAAGCCCAGGGGCTTTCTTCACAGATATATATTCCATGACTCTCGGCAATAGGAGTTGCTCGTAGTTTTGAAGCAGATTCGAGACGTCTCAAACACGGAAACACCCCCTAAGGGGGTAAGAATAATGTTTGTGCCAAGAACGAGACCAACCCTGACTCAGATCTTAGTCATCTAGCGCCATGGTTTCGTCTGGAACAGAGGAGGAAGTCGTTTTGTATTAGAGAGTGGGATCCGTAATGACCAGCGAAGCCTGTCTCCGGTAGTTGACCTGAGTTTGCTAGTTCTGATCCGAAATACTTCATCCAAAGAGCTACTGACTGTATTCGTAGTTTGCTGAAGCCTAGCGTAGGCCTCGGAAACCAGCGGTAGTTTGGTCCGTCACTGCGAGGCCTGGTGATATTGCGAACATTGCAGATGCGGTCAAGTCCGGGGCAGGAGTATCCGGGAAATTGGTTTTCCCTCTTTCAACTTTCTCTCGATTTTTGCTCACCGAGAGGTTTTTGGGTCAGGGCACTGAAATTTCTTCAAAGAGCCCAAATCATTAAACTATTATCCCACCTCCTTTCTTCTGAGCCCTCATGATCTGCCTCGTCAAGGCTGCCCGGTTTCCTAGTGCCCGAGCAAGTAGCCATGACCACGCCCCCTGGATGAATTGCTGCGCCACTGACTACATCGTCGTGAGCTTTCCACTCAAATGCCTTCTCGCCCTTCCCACTAGCCTCCCAAACGCTAACCATCCCATCAATACCACCGGATACCACTTCTCCTTCGAGTGAATATGCAATATCGACCCCTACCCTCTGATTTGTCTGCGCCATCCTCCCTTTAAGGCTCTCCATCTTCTCACCAGCAACTCGAACATCGTAAACGGCTATTGTGTCACTCTTCCTCTCAACGACATATAGATACCTCCCACATTTGCTCCATAGCAATTGCGTGATCCCACCACCTTCGCCATCAACTGTGAACACACCGATGGTACTTCCACTTCCGCAACCATCATAGAGTCCCACCTGCCGAGAAAGTGTCCCGGCAGCAAGAACGCCATTGTTGATAGCCAAGGCCGAGACAACCCCTTTCATTGTTTCGCAGGTCTGCACGCTCCGTCGTGTCGGGATAGTTTTAAGATCTAGATACGGCCCCTCACCGGGCCGCTGGAGGTCAAAGAAGGCTATCTGGGAAGTGGCTCCAACGACAAACTTGTTTGCGTCTTCGGGGGTGAAAAGCATCGACTGCGGGGAGAGATACTTTTCGGTTTGGTGGTTGATGAGCGGGTATGATGCGCGGGTGTTTGTCAGGAGGAGGTCGTGTAGATGGACCGGATGGTCGCGTGTGGACTTTAGGAAGCAGCAGGTAGCTGGATCAGTGAGGGACATTGAGGGGTAAATCGTGGCGCACGATACTGGTTCCGCAGATGCTGTTTGCGAGTAGGGTGTTAGGGGTTTCGGTTCATTGGAATGGTCGAGAAGATCCACCGGTCTTTTTTTCTCAGCATAGATGCGTCAGTACGATACAAATCAAAGCCATGCGAAGAGAACAAGAGGAACATCGTTACAGGACAAACGTGCGGAGAATGTTGTCTTCGCTGTTGGTAAGGACACAAGATCCATCCGGGGACCACTGCGCACTCTTAAAGAGATTACTCTCATGTGGGTTTCCTAGGCCTGACCATTTCTGCACGGACAATTCCCTGGCAGAGGTTTCGGTGACAGAGCAATTATATGTTGCTCCAGTAGAGGCGACAAGTTTGGGTGGGTTCAAGAGTGACATTGGTGGTTGGGAAAAGGTGTGTTAAGGATGCGGCTCTTCAAAAGCTTATCATGACGCCTCGGGACAAGCCACCCACCCTGAACGAGGCGCCGGTCAAGGCTATTTTGGGGAGCGAAATCTACATGCTAAAGTCTAGATAAACAATCATTACTATCCTGCCATTTCCGGCCTTGCCGGGCGCTGCACAAAAAAAAAAACAGCACTTTTACAATTTCTTTTCAATCGATTTTCTTTTCAGCGAATGAAATATTTTATTATTATCCTACCCGTAGGCCCTCTAATGAAATCCCCATCAACGTGACCGATAAAGTAGTTAACGTCTGAATAAGGCATATTCTCCGCCCTTTGATCAAATAGCTTCAAATGTTAGAAAAAAGACCCAATTTTTAAGAAAAACGGCACTCCTTCATACTCATACCCAACAGGGCGTAAGATATCATATATGAGAGCCCGGATTACACAGTTCTATTAGTATCGGTATGATCACCAAGCCTCCATGCCGGGTTGCTCCCTTCTTGAACTAATGTTCATGCCACCCGGCCCGACTAAGTCTCTGGAGCGCAGAGAGGAGCTGTATATAGGCCCATGGAGCCCAACTATTGTTAGGGCCACTATCACCTGCTCTTTCTGTGCAGATAACTAATATTACCATCTTTTCACTTTTCATCAAGACAGGTATGATAGTTGCTTTTTAAAAAAAAGACCTTTTTTTTTCAGCTGGATCCTTTGATTGTTTTAAAGGTTCTTTTTTTTTTCTCCCCTCCCCCGGAAAAAAAACGAAAAAACACACCTATGGTCTGTATATACGTATACTCAAGTATATATAAGGAGTGGGTCCGTCGCAAAACCCATCTGCAGTTTTCCCCGGAAGCACCCCTCCGTAACACCCACCAGGCGCACTAGAACAAAAGGAATTTGTGATATAACACAGGTGTCAAGATACCCATACAAGAAACAGCACTTTAGATCCGAGTACAGAATAAGTATCTAATGCTAGTGAGGGAGGTTTTTTCCATTTCTCTCCAAGATGCATACATCATAACACCGCATCGATCCTGAAACCGAGATACTTATGTAGGTGGTTAGTGAGATGTTGGTTCCTAACTTACAAATGTCCAGTACTATAAATTCCGGACACTAGCCATTGGAGGTATCATAAGTAAATGCAGTCTGTGATACTATCACACTTTGCAACCTATTCCCTAACAACTTCCTATCGGCAATCATTGCCCTCGATAGGCTAGCCGGGCCAAAAAAATCCCCCCATCTTGTCGGCCCTGGAGGTGCCCCGAGAACTCTACCTCTCACATGAAATAGTATTCATCATTATGTGAGACCCTCATCCCGGTAGAGAAACGCCAGCATCCCAGTTTTCCCGCTAACAGATGAAGGGGAGGATTGCGTTCGGAAACTCAGATACCAGCCACCGACTCTTCACAGAGTGTGCCGGGTGGTTCGTTGATGGCACACTAGCCTTCGCTGTAAGCCGGGGCTGTTAATGCCCCTGGGCCCCGGTTTTGGCCGATAAATATAGATATATAGACATCACTTACATTGATGTATTTGACCAACAGCGCCCCTCAATGGAGTTGGATACCAATACTATGGGCATTATTTCTTTCACTACCAATGCCCGGCGTGTCGACACTCGTTGGAATTGTTTTTGCTCCCGATAAAGGCTATGTCGGCCTCAGTTTTCTTTATCGTTGTAATCGCAATCACAGCGGGAGGAATCGGCGGTGAGAATATTGGGTTCAAGTACTAGACCTGGAAGGGTCCAAGTGCCTTTGCAGATGGTGCCAATGGTGTTATAAAGGCTTTTATTACCGCCAGCTGGGCGAAGGGGCTAAAATAGTGAGAATAACTGCTAGAAAAACGAGAGATCCGGAAAAAAAAAGGAAAAAGGAAAAAGAAAAAAAAAGAAAAAGAAAAACTCTGCCGAGCTATCGGGCAGGTCTTTTGGAGAATCCTTATCGTACGAGTACGCTAGTATGATAAAAAACTTTAGCAAAGGCTGAATATCACTGACTAGAAAGTGCAAGCCTCACTCTGCGCGTGCATTCCTGCAGCTGGAGTGAGGAGAGATTGGCTGGCACGCCCGGAGGAATGGCGACGTTCATTATCGGTATCCTAATGTCTTTCAGCAGCCAACGGCTCCTGGCCTCCAGTTACCGCGCAGCCCGCTCTCCAGCGACAGTCACCCTTGGCCAAGCTGGGCTCGCCCGAGCCGTCCATCCGATGAACGCTTTGATCGTGATCTCAATAATCTCGGCCGATAATGCTTCACCATACGTTGATCCAGCAGAGTTTTCCTTACGGCACGAATTCGAAGTCGTTCAATGGCAAACTCTCGGGGTGTTCCCCGGCCAGCATTTATTTTCAGTAACCTCGCGGCATGCATGGCATTAATAACCGTCGGCTCGGGGGCGCGTGTCCTCTTTTCCACACTCATAACGCTATCCAGTGTTTGCACTTTCATGGTCTGAGGAACTATCCAGCTTGCGCACATTCACTTCTGAAAAGTGCTCCACAGGCAGGGAGAGAGCGTCACATCCCCTCCCTTCAAGGCATTGTGGTACCCTATGGCGCATCTGTTGCGTTGGCTGTCAGCATAATTTTGGTCTTCTTGTCAAGGGTACCGTATACACGTACTGCCTTCGCGCTAAAGTGTTGTGAAGGATTCTGTTGCGGGGATACTTGTACTCGAGTACATTCTGGCTCCTGTTGAGGTGGCGCTGTTGGCGGCATAATATAGAATGGACCGGGGTGAGGGATACGGAAATACGAAGCAAGAGGAGGGTGGGCTCAACTGTGGCCGATGATGGGCAAGTCAAAAGGAACCCCGGGAGTGAAAGCATGCAGAAGTTGTGCAGACAGTTCTGGGATTTTCGTCTAATGCGTTGTTCTTTCGTTGTTGGAAACAATGTTTAGGTTCCTGCCCTCCTGTCGTTTCAGGTGCTCGGCGATTGAATAAAGTTTTCCCTACCCAGTAAAATGGGAAAACTGTTCTTGCCGAGCCCATACGAGTCCCCACGGGGACGAGGGGTATGTTTTCCAGTTATAGTGGGCACGCCCGGTTGCCATTGACCGCCTTATTTGTTTGGCACCGGTACGATGTTGAGAATCAACGGAAACGTCCAGATATAGCCAATAACCAGACCACCCTCCGAGCGCCAACGGAGTCGGGGCCTGAATTCTCCCGCACAAAAGCAACGAGAAATTTCAGCCCCGGTGTGACTTTGATAGGCTCATTCGCAGCACGACATGGCGGCATCACCGAGCTGGCCAAGAGCCTGCTGTACCACTGGCTGTACTAATATCGTATTCGGCTGTGATAAACGTCCTGTGCGGGAGACACCCACTTTGATCCAAACAAGCTACCGGTATGTTCTTCTCGTGTTAGGTACAATTAGGATGGGAAATAGAGCCGATGTCGTCGGCTCTATCCGCTCCTGCACTTGCGCGAACCCGGTTGGGGGATACAAGTAAGTCTCGGTGCAACCCAACCCCTGGATCGCACAAATGAATGCACCGTATGTGCTTGGTTCGCTCCACTATCTGGTGCTGTGCTCGAATAGATACCGTATGCCCTACTCCCCCAGATGACCAAACCTTTGGTTTGCATCCGGTGCTTGTGCCGGTGTGATACTCGAGCACAGCAGGGCATAACTCTTGGGGATAGCGGGGGAAGATGGTTTGTGGTTTCCGCGGCACAGGGTATCATAGATCTCCTCCATCAATCCTAATGCCCATATCCTACTCGAGTAAACCGTCCAATTGGGGCGTGTGCAACTTCTTCCTCTCCGAAGCCTGCACATTTTAAATTATTTGGTATGATAATATTATCATATCAACGGGAGGAGGTACAGTAGGAACTCGGGTAGTTGTTTGAGTGGAGCAACCCCCTTGCTGTTCCTTCATTCCTTCATCCTCTTTTCCTTCCCAGAGATAGTCTCCCTATGCCCGCCACCAGAATACAGTTTGGCAGAATAGAATTGTACGAGTGCTTTGTATTGACACCCACGCCCCCGGTTATCTCATCATACTAGTACTCTACCTCTTCCCCGGGACAAGCGTGAGAACAGGAGGTCTTCAAAGTTCAAAACCCCACCCAAATCCAGACACCGCGCACGTACCAACCCGTCTAATCTCCGTTCGATATAAAATACTTGTAGTACAAGTACAAGTATCGGTAATGCACTACTGGTAGTACAGAGGCTCCCTAGAAAGCCCAACACCAGTACTGTACCTGACAGAAAAAAAAGGTGAAGGTGAAGATCGCTTTAACTATCCTCAGGCGTTCGCTAACCAACCATCGGCCCCGAATCCGTCATCAGAGGAGACCACGCGTTTGCAGTGTGCGACCCAATTCGATGAGTGAATGGTGCCAGGATGGCTCCCTTGCTTCCCTGTTCAATGGGCGCTTTTGGACGAGAACTACTCGTAGGATTCCTGCAGTTCAGCGAGACATCTATCTAATTGAATGCGATTCGAGATAGAGGGCTGTCACCGCACGGTGCTCGTACTGTACGAGTGCTCAAATCAAGGTATCGGTATTGGAACCACCTATGGTCCCTGCGTAGTGGCTTTATGTGATGGTGATCAGGGGCCAAGTTTGGTATGCTGCTTCCGAGAGATCCCCTACCGTAATCTAGCTCCCCTAGGTTTACCGCAAACAAACAAACAAACCTTGTTTACAGTATCATATCGTACTGGAAGAATCAACGCCTTTAGTCCTCCTCTTCTTGCTCCTGCCGGTAGGGGAGAAGTTCACGTGTTTCCGTCGTCGTTGTCCCGAGAATGGAAAACTCATTGGAGTCCGTGTAGTTCGAGCTTAGTTCATCTATTTTACACCCGTACGGTGCCCTGCTTTCACTCCCCTCCGCGATGCCCAGACACAATCTCGCCGCCTTGAAACATTCCCCACCATAAAATATCCCTCCAATCATATCATACCGCAATGGCTATCTTGTCATACATTTCCGCGATTTCTAAAAGCATCGATATTTCCGGCAGAGCTGAATACCCCCCTCTCCTCCCTCCATGTCTTAGGCATATTACTTGCATACCGGTACTACCGGTATAGTACAGTATGGTAGTCATCCACTTAACCCAGTCTGGCAATGATATCTGATGTACCTGTTGGCGGGTCCCCTGATCGGCGGTTGGTTTTCGGGAGCTGGGTGCCAATACCTGTAAATGGAAAAGAGCTCTATAGTAAGCGCAGTACTGAGTACGAGTACAAGTACTAGTACCTGGATGATGATCCTTTTTTCTTTTCTTCCCCCCCCCCCTTTTTTGTCGCAAGTCTACAACGACTGGCACATTTCTCCGATAGGAGATGGTATGGAATATTTGTTCTTCCACCCCGTCTAGGCTTTCGGAAAGCGTTAATAAACAGACTACAGTACGGTGGGATGCTTCGCAGTCGAATGGCTTTTCAGAATTGGTGATGCGATAGCCCATTCCACGGCGTAGCGAGCTGTAGGCATGTCGATTTTTGGGCGGTGCATTAGGATAGGTTGATTTTGGTCTGGATTGGGGTGTTATGTCGTGGTTATAAGTGGGTCGAGTGTCTGCCTTTCAGTGACTGCGAGGAGGCTTGGCCTTCTCACTGGTAGAGAGAGGTTCTGGGAAAAGGAATAAAAAAATCATGAGGAAATCATGAGGGGCTGTAGTCCATGATTGCTCACCGAAAGCGAGCTTTTGCGATATCATAAGCTACGGTACGGTACCGTAGTCGAGTAGCTGAGAGAGGGATGGCCAATTAATCACATGGTCTCACTCGGGATATCGTGTTTTTCTTTTTCTCTCAGGGTTAGGACAACAAACATTCCCCTGCCTAGAGTTTATGGTCTGTCTGGGCACTGGCCTCTTGAAATACCCTGGGAGGCCAGTCTTTCCCATTGTTTGCTCAACAGAGAATTGACCACTTTGGTCTTATAATAACCGTCTTCTCCCATATTCCCTCTCCCTCTCTGTCTCCCCCCTCACTTCCTCACCCACACTCTCTCGCCCACGTTCTTTCAGCGTTCTCACTCCACACCTCACTTTCCCTCACTCCCTTCTTTTACCAAATTTCGCTCCTTACTGAGTTGGGGATTTTGCCAAAATGAGGTTCTTTTACTTTGCGGTGCTGGCCTCGTCCGCGGCAGCACACCACTTGATTTCCTCAATGTCGGTATCTGGTCGCTCTTTCGGCGATGGAACTTGTCTCCGAGTTCCCCCGAACACTGACCCGCTGCTCTCTCTCACTGATAAATCGATTGTCTGTAACATTGGTGGTGATAGGGCTGTTGGTAGAATCTGTGATGTTGATGGTATTTTGCCCTCTGCGTGCTCGCTTTCAATGATTACCTGTGTCTAACTTTAACAAAAAAAAAGCTGGCCAAGAAATCACTTTCACCTGGAGAACCTGGCCAGACGGAAGCAGGAATGATCCCATCGCTGAATCCCACCAGGGCCCTTGTGCAGTCTATATGAAGCAAGTCAATTCATTCAGTGACTCCATCGACGGTGATGGGTGGTTTAAGATTTGGCATGAGGGTTATGCGAATGGGATGTTTTGTGCCCAGCGATTGAGAAGGAACGGAGGGGTGATGACTGCTAGGGTACCTCGAGATCTCGCTGCGTATATAGTCACCCTCTGATATTCAACAGGAAATTGATGTTGCAGAATGCTAACATAGGCTGCAGCGGCGAGTACGTGGTCCGTGGTGAAATGCTCGCTCTCCACCAAGCAGTGAGCATACCGTCATCAATAAATTGGAGAACAAAGCTAATATACCCCCAAAGCAAAATATCGGCGGCGCTCAATGGTACGTAACCTGTGGCCAACTGCACGTCTATTCCACCGGCGGGGATGCTAGGCCCCCGACTGTTTCCATCCCCGGCTACACAACTCCTGACCACCCAGGCGTGCACTACAACATGTGGGCCCAGCCACTTTCGCTCCCGTACCGCATCCCCGGTCCGGAGCCATACGTGCCCACATCGGCGGGCGGCGGCCCTCGCCAGGGCCCAGTAAGGCCGCAACCTCCCTGTCCGGTGTCGAACGCAAACTGGTGCTCACGCCCCGTACCCGGATTCTCCGATGAGGTGGGATGTTACCGCAGTTCAGCCGATTGCTGGGCACAGTTGGACATTTGCTACAAGGAGGCTCCCGTAACCGGGAACAAAGGGTGTAAAGTTTGGGAGAACACTTGTGAGAGGTACAAGGCTCATTGTTTGAAGTGTGGAGCTGAACGCAATTGTAATGGGGGATTCCCAGGGAGGAGGGTTAGGAGATTTTCCATGGACGAGAAGAAGTTGTGAAGGTGTGTGGTGTTCTGATGTATAGTGTGGCTGGATTCATGGCGGGTTGATACTGATCGGGTGTGATGAACAGTAACGAAATGTTACTAATCTTGGATTACCGACGTCATACTAGCACACCTTAAGGGGAACTGTACATAAGGCAAACAACAATTTTGGAGGTCTGCCACTGAAGCAGAGACAGTTTTACACTGCGATGGTTTGAAGTTGGGCCCTCGCCGCCTACAGTACGGTACTGTACTACACACAATCACGCCATATAAACCTCTTTAGCCCAACTTGAGTACGTAGGCAAGAATCAGCGTATCAATACCAAGATAATGTATACAATACTAATCGTAAAAAATACATTTTCCTTATTCCATTAGTAAAATAGGAAGCCCCTTCCTTACGCCATTTGAGCATGAGATGAGAAGTGTATCCGTACCACAATTTCTTCACTTAAAAGAGAACGCATGCCGATCCTCAAACTCAATTAAGAAAGAAAGACTTTAATACTACTGTATGATACTGCACAGTACGCCCGTCATATTTTTTATGGTACAATACTCGCGTAACCAAACCTAGTATCGATCGGCGGGCCAATAGGAATCTGTCTGACGCTCTGAATTTACTGCTGAATTCAGTATAGCACCCCATTAGTCATTGTAACTCCTATTGACTCGCCGATCGCTGCCAGATCCAGGTGCGCGACTTCAACTCGGCCGCGCGAGTACTGTGCTTGTCCGTGGCGTCTCGGTGGGGGAGCTGCATGTCCCCACGGTGCTCTACAAGCTCCCACTTACCATTCTATCGCCATGGTTTGCATATGAGACCAGTATATTACTCGTATAGTACAGCACCGCGCTGCACCGTATTCACCAATCTAGTGGTTATTCAGTATAGTAAACTAAAGCTCCGGACCCTAGTACCCATAGATGGTAGCTTAAACATGAAAATGAAATAATTGAATCAAAAAAAAACCATTACCATCGATAAAGATTGGAGCAGTGGAACTGAGGTAACCAGATCCTGGGCGTAGTTGACCACGACATGATGCTATCAAACCTGAGGACTAGAGGTATTTGAGAGAACCATGTACAACTCAATAAACCTGAAGATAGTTTTGCCTAATTAATATATTATATGTAGAGCCTAAATAAATGACTTGAAATATAAGCAGCATTTGTATGCTTTAGGTGACAAATAAAGTTCTGAAAATAATTTAATTGATATAATAATTATAAAGGTATGCATCTGTATTTATTATATTCTAAACTCTATTCAAGTTACTTTTTGTAAAGTGCTTGTACCTAAAGTGAGTAATCAAAAGTCTCGGTGATTGGATTAGTCAGTAAATGTTAAATGAGTATATGATATCAGCAGATGCGACTGCTAAAGGGTTTAAAGTACCAGCAGGAAAGTACTACTTGGTAGACACTAGCTATGGTATATCTCTTAAATACCTAACTCTATATGGTGGTATTCACTATCACTTAAGAGAACAAATTATTAGTAATCAAGTATATGTATACATCTTATATTTGTAAATTTTGTGGTTTTGTTTTATAGTCTAGTAATTTATAAATTTTACAGTTCTTAAAATGCAAAGGAGTTATTTAATTTATATCATGCATCTGCATGAAACTATATTGCACGAATCTTGGGTATTCTAAAAACAAGGTTTAAGATTTTAAAATAGGTGACAGGATATGATAAGCAGATTTCTGCGGCCCTATCTAATGCTGTTTGCTGCTTGTATAATTTTATTAGTATCAATGGTATTCTAATTGAAAGTCACAAGATACTACTATCAAGAGAGAAGTGCTAACAACAAGTAGAGGCCAATGTACTTTCTCAGCCTATTTTTAAATGCCAGATAAAGAAAGGAAAAAGGTAAAGCAATAAGGGACAAGATTGCTAGTGAAATGTAGACAAGTTATCAAGCACTAATGAGAAGTAGATAGTTTCTACAAGATATTTGATTTACTAGTTATTGTATATAGAATCAGTAATACAAATATTAAGTACATTCCTGTTTAGACATAATAATATCCTTGAGCCAAGCAACTCGTAAATCCTCAGTTATCATCTTAAAAGTCACACATTTAATAGGATTTTTCTCTAATACTCTGATTGCATCTCTTACAGTATCTTTTATAATAACTTCACTCTTATACATCTCTATCAGAATTGCAAGAGCTGCTCTGTACTCCTTGAACTCATCCTCTGGTGCTTCAATGAGTGAAATTGATGCTGGTATAAAACTTGAGTCATCAGTAACTGCTTGATGGACATACTTACTAGCTCTGATTTCTGCAATCAAGTCACTAAGCTTGCTAGATATCCTTTCAGTAAAGTTGGTCAACTTTTGTGCCTCTTGTCCTTTTACTAACGATTCAAATTTTCTCTTCCGACTTGTAGGTCTTAGGGACTGCCTCTGTATTGCAGGAGAAGACTCTGGCTGGTATTCATCACCCGAGTCAGAGCTAATAATTTGCTCAGCAGGATTATTCTCAATGTCTATCTCAGCTACAAGTATCTGACTTGCTAGTGCAGCTGCTTCTGGTTGGAATAATGAACTACCTCTATGCAATTTTGGATCAATTTGCTCATTATAGTTGTTAATAGAAGAAAATGGGTTATCCTTATACCAGTCTGGTACCTCAATTGACTTGTGCTCACTAGGAACTGTATCAGATTAGCTATATGCATTATTATTATAAAAATTATGAATTAATTACTTACTATTCTGACTAGAACTAGTCTGACTTCTGCCTATTGGAATCTGACTACTAGCTGGAGTAACTGCTGCTATACTAGCAGCTGATATATTGGAAAATATTTTAGTTAAGGCATCATAATTCTCAAATACTCGGTATTTGAATTCAGCAGCTTCTGGATTACTCTATACACTATTAGATTAGACTTTATTCTTATACTTTTCTCTAATTAGTTTATATATACCTTCAAGTAATTAGTCCAAATACTTTCTGCAGCTGTAACAATCTCACTTGTATTATTCCACTCAAATCCTGAAGAATTCAGCAAATGGTTAAAAACTTTCCACTTTTGCTTCATCTGTTATTTATTAAAACCTTCTATTAGCTTTGTATAATATAATAATCTTTATTAGTAGTAATATAAGATAGAATTCTTACTATATTGGCCCTATTTTTAAGCTGCTTCATACTTCTTATTTCATCACCCATTTCCTTATTGAATTCTATCATAATTTCCTGCCAAGCCTCCTTTTTAAACCTATTGTCCAATTTCTTTCCCTTTTGACATTGTACAAGCATCTCCTCAATCAGCTTTTTGTCAGCAGCTTTTGTCCATATAGCTTTAGGGATACGTGGCACTATTGATGCCATAGTGGATAAATTTCTGAATAAAGATTCCAATTACTGTAAAAAGTATGAAGATAAATATGAAGAATAAGAAGTGGTGATTGAAGACTCTGAGATGAGGATTGTTCAGATATTTAAATAGTTATATCTAGTAGTAACTGGAACTAATTAAATACTATGAACAATGTAATAGTAATCAAATAAAGATTCTATTTTCATTTTAAAGATTTCTATAAGAGGTTTCCATCTACTTGAAATTCTATCTTATTCTATCTTTTCTAGTAGGTTGTATTGTATTCATATATTAGCTTCAAGTTAATATCGTATTTAGTATACTATAAATACAGAAGTAATTTTTATAGTATTTTCCTAATATGGAATATAGAGCCTAGAAGAAGGCAAAGAAGTAGTAATTTCAGATAGTATAAGAGCAGATATCTATTAATGAGAATAATAAGTAATAATTATCATAAATCTAATCCAATTAATATGTTAACATATATTGTACTATATTATTATACAAGTTTTCAAAACATATTTTGTAAAACATAGTTTGTAAAACATGTTTTCAATTAATAGTGAGCCAAACACTACTATCAATTGAAAATACATTTTGAGATCAAAATATATTTTCAATTTACTAACTGCTTGAGTCCAATATTTTCTAACAAACTAGCTAGATCCACCTTCTTATATAGTCCTTCATCAGCAAACTCTAGTCCCAGTAACTCATACCTATGAGTTATGCATAATGTATGACTCACAACTGTGAGTCATATAAGATTTATAAATTAACTTCGAGTCCTGTAAGTCGCTATATGATACAAGATACTTTTAAACAAATATAATTAACATATAAAGTCAAGTGCACAACTCATATCACCAGAGTGAAACCCATGACCTACAAGTATGAGTCATATGTGAAGCTTATAATATTATATGACTCACCATTATGAGTCACTAACTTGAACTAAATAACCAATCCTATAACAACTTTTAACTCTTGCTTAAATTGAATATAAAACAACTTTAATAAAATATTTCAAATAATTTAACTTAACTTAATTCTTGCTAAGTTATATTTATAATAACCTATTAGATCTATACTATAGCTGATACACTACTAGTACTGATTGTACTTCTAATAATATATAAGACAGTCATATAATTTAGTTTAAAGCATAGATTTTTAGCTTTAATATATGTATAAGTGCTTTTTAATATATATTATAATTAATAAAATATATTTTTCTCTATATTCTACAATTAGAATTATATTATTAATAGTCAGTTATTCTCCTATTTTATTTCACCTAGAGTTAGGTAAAGCAAGTATATTATAGCTTTTATATATATATATAGTGATATTACTATGTGACTTGATTTTATTATCTAAAAACAAGCAGTATTAAATATAAATAAGATTAAAGAAAAATAATACGGAGGATATGATATTTCAATTAAAAGATCTATAAAATCAGAATTTTCTTGTAATGACATGATGTTACTGAGCTATGGCAACCTGGGTTTACACCTATAAATACAACTAAGAGGTCAAGTAGTAGACCAGGCAGGTGTATAAGAGTATGTCTGAGAGATATCTGGTAGCCTGGATGTTTGTGTAAGTATAAGGTACTTTGAGAATTGGTATACCTAAGGAGTAGTAGTAATATGACTATATTTATATCATTCTAAGGACAGGTCGGAAGGCCAGGTGAAGTCACTCTACCTAAGAATATTACATTATCCTGCTATGATATGAGGGTCATCTTCATATTACTATGGATATACTTACCCTACCTTCAGGACAATATTACTCTACCTTCTTACTCTATTTTCCATCAGAAATATTCTCAGAGGATTTTCATGAAATGTGCAGATTATTTGTTATACAATAATGATTGACAGGCACTTGTTTATACATTGATTAGAAGACTACAGGAGAAGCTAAAGAGCTCGAAACAGGCTGTAACTTGGCAGAAATATTTTTCAGGTACCTCTGGCTCCAGGGTTCGCCCAAGGCATTATGGAATAAGATAAGTAAAGTACTGTCTTTCTAGTTAAGTGGAGTCAATGAAGACATGTCCATAGTAGTACTATATAAGTGGCAGTTATTCATCCAACCAGAGACTATTTATAGAATATATATGAAGAGCAAGGTAACAAGGTCTGGTATCTTTTTCAAGTTGAATAGAGTGAAACAGATCAAAACTGATAGAATTAGTATGAGCTATCTGGAATGGTATCTTGAGTAGTTGCAGGTAGTACCAGGACATCCAGAAAGGTTTTATACCAATCAAGCCTATATGTACCTCTTTGCTATAGACTTATTAAAGGATATTTAAGAACTCTAAAAGCAGGATTTATATCACAGAGAGCTGTATGTTGGGAGTAAGAAATTATAAGTAGAGTTCATGAATCACACTGCTGATACAACTCTCGGTGGAAGTACTATAGGCCTTTGAAGTTTACAATCAAGATAGATAAAACTTAATTGAAGATAGCTGATATCTACAAGTGCTTGTATAGATTATTTTATCTGGATGGAAAGTCATTTAGTTAGCTTTCCCAGATAACTCATCAGTTAGCTACTAATAAGATACAGATACACAGAAGTTTTCTTTTTAGCAGGTACATTAGTAATGCTTAGTAGAAACTGACATGCATATAGAAGACTGCTGATAGGGCATGCTAACTGTTACACATATGAATGCACAGACCTCTCCCACGCACAGACCTCCTGAAAACCGCGAAAATTCTATGGCCAACACCTCCCTCCAGCCCCACCATTGGGCCTGCACGCAGTAATAGCGTCACTAAAATTTGGTGTTCCGACAGTATAAACTGGTTGAAATGAAGCATGCTTTATAACACCGTATACGTCGTTGCCGTCTGTCCGACCAAAAGCTGTTTACAGGATATATAAGAGAGGACCTCTGGCCGGGTCTGAAAAGTAGAAAGGGGTCAATTGGAAGGATAACCATGGAACTACAAGCTAAGCAAGATTGACCATCTGAGACATGGACAGGAGGTGTTGGGAAGAAATCGCCAACAGTCCAATGAGTTATCGGAGGGTGCCTGTATGGACGAGGGATAGGACCCAGTCAAGTGCTCGCACAGTATAGAGCCAACCGGAGGCCTATCTGTGGGTGAGGGACTTTCCTATAATGTTGACTAGTCCGATCGTGGTGGAGAGTCCTCAAAGTCAATGCAGTCAAGATGTGAAGTCAACAAGACATTGATAAGTCTCTCGACAGAGCTAATCACTCCAGTCAGAGTAAGGAGGATGATGAGTTGGCTTGAAGCGAGACCACTCACTCATACTTAACTCTCCGAGATGAAGGAATCGTATGTTTTCGACAGAGAGGTTTCAAACGCCTGCACAGAAACACGACAACGCACGGAGACCATAGTTCAAGTAAGACACAAAGTTTATCAGGGTCAAAAGGATCCCCATTATGATAGTAAGGGGTAGGAAATAGAGAAGGTACATTGTTTAGTAATAGATAGATGTAGCCCGCAACCACCCAGATACGGAATATAAATATTGAGGTGCCTCCTTAGCTTTCAGAACATCCTCTGTCTCTGCTACATCTCCGGTCATTGAAAAATATTTCCTAATCGGGAACGACTCAACACCGAGGAACTATTACCACTTTTCTTTAACCATGCACCCCCCCGCCGGGGGTGCAGGCTGATGCTTTTCATTCTTTCGCCCATCGGGGCCTCTTTTCTACTCTCTCTCTCATCTGCCATCTCGCCTCTGCTAGATGGGGGTCCTCTCCTCACTCTGGGGGCCTCATCGTGAGGCCTCTTCCGTCCCTACACCGCTTTTGCTACACCTCGCTTAGCATCTGCATGGTTGGTTCTGGTGGCTGGGTGATGGTTGAATGGTCAGATAGACTGGTGGTCCTCTGGGCTATCGGGAGTGGCAGGTAGTGGGATCTCTTCCACTACAGTGACACTACCTCTCCCAGAACAAGGGACTACATGAGAGATGCGGTAAAACACCAGCTACTCCTGTGACCCCAGTTGCAGCCTCCCACCATATCGTTTGACCAGATCCTTTGCTTGCCTTGCCCTCTTCCTCTCCTCTTCTCTGGGATCGGCTAGCACCCTACTGCCTGGGCTCTCGGGCCCCACTATTACCAAAGGAAGTGCTTCAGCAACCCTTCCTCCTTCCCCCCATACCATTTCCATTTGGTACTTCTCTCACTTCTGCCATCGTTGTGGCAGCGCTACAATCCTTTCCTGGCTCTCATGTCACTACAGGCATCATCCAGCCTTTCCCACAATAAGGTCCCTCACGGCTGGGATCTACCCCCTCCCTCCTGGGCAGTATTGGCTGCCCCCCCCTATCACAGGTTGCTGGCATCTCTCGCCTGCCTTCCTCTCTTCATGCTTGCGACCCACCCCAGGCCGAACGACCAGTTGGCCTGCCTTGGTATTGCACTATCTCCTGGGTAGAGCTAGTCGGCCCGGTCATGGCATTTTGCCAGGGTCCTACCGTAGGCCTGATAGCGGACATATTCATTCACGGACACCTGTAGAGGCACTTGGGGGTTTCCTAACCTATTCTTTCCTTTGTCGAGATGACACTGAAGGGTTTTCTTTTCTCTTCTGCCTTTCCTGTTGGGGACAATCGTTTCTTTGTGGGGCGGGATGTGCGGTTGGGCCCATACCAGAGGATCTTAGAGGGATTGTTTTGTTCCCTGGGGTGCAGAGGAATGCGTCTGAAATTAAGGTTTGGTTTTTGCCATAGCTAGCATTCCATGCAGGTTCTTGTACCTTAACAACGAATATATGAGTAAAACAAAAAAAAAACAAATCCTTATCTTTCAGAACATCCTCCGTCTCCGCTATACCTCTGGCGATTGAAAACTCAACACCATGGTTACTATTGTAGCTTTCATCGTCTAGCACCACCACCCCCCCCCATCTCCTTCCATCTAGCCTTGGCTATAGGAGGTGGACTTGCGCTTCCCCTCTCCCTTGAGGCCCTTATTTATTAATTGGCTTTCTTGGTTCTATTCCTGGTTTGGAGTTGATTTATCTTCGTGATATTTCTCCTCTTCCTACCCT